CACACACACACACACACACACAGCACAGGCCCCCCTGACCCCTACCTGCACGACCCTGATGGCGATCTCACACACACATACACACACACACACACATACACACACACACAGACAGTGCAGGCCCCCCAGGCCCCCTACCTGCACGACCCCGATGGTGATCACACACACACAGAACAAGAAGATGCCCAGGGGCACATCAGGGAAGGTCACCATTAAGGAAAACTGTTAAAATAAAAACAAAACCAACCCCCCCCCCCCCCACAAATCCTAGGTTACCAGGCTCCAGGGCCCCAGGGCCTGGAACTGGGCCATGGTGAGCCTCCCCACTCCACGGGAGATGCGATGGGGCCATCACAGGATGCGGCCAGCTGGGTGCTGGGGGAGATGTGTCCAAACTGCCCCCACCCCAACCAACTCCACCAAATGCCTCAGGCCTTTAAAGCCAAAATGTCATCCGATTCATATAGAATTCCGCAAACCCCAGTTCCTTGTGGCACGCAGCCCCGCACACTCGGACCAGCGGCCACACAGCCCCGCACACTCGGACCAGCGGCCACGCAGCCCCGCACGCTCGGACCAGCGGCCACGCAGCCCCGCACGGCAGCGGCCACGCAGCCCCGCACGCTCGGACCAGCGGCCACTGCCAGAATTTGGAGGCACCTTCACAGCCTGAGCAGTACAGGGTGGGTGGCCAGAGGCTGTAGGGGCTGCATGCCAGGGACAGGCCTGAGATGGGCAGGCGGCTGTGGACTCAGGGCCAGGTGGGAGCTGGGAGCGCCAGTGAGTCCCTCATCAGGGCCACTGCCTCCCCTCCCCTCCAGCCTGAAAGAAGCCCCCAGCAGCCCAACAGCTGGCTCTCCCCAGAACCTTCTCTCCCCAGAATGTTCTCGCCCCAGAATTTGCTCTCCCCAGAACCTTCTCTCTTCTCTGCAACTGTGTGGCCTGGGCCCTGAGTCATCCAGCTGGTCTGCTTTTGAGGACAGGTCAAATCCAGTGGTGCCCAGGAAAGCCTCAGGGTGTCAGGGGCCTGGCGGTGCTCACCGTGTAAGGCAGGAAGGTGATGGTCATCATGCAGGCCTGGAGGGAGGGAGGGCATCATGGCCATGATGTGGCCTGGGGAGGAGGGCAGGGGGATGGACACAGCCCACTCCAGGAAGGCGCAGGCCTGCGCCCTCCCCAAGAAGGGTGGGCCAGCGAGTATGAGTCCAGCTCCCAGACCCTGCAGGGCCAGATGGGGGCACTCATCCTCTGTCCCCCACACCTGTGCCCAGCCCAGTGCCCCCTGGTCCCCCACACCCTGGCTCTGTCTGGGAGGAGATACAGGCTGGCGACCCATGGGGAGGGAAAGATCATTCGAGGAGCTCCCAGGTGTGGGCAGATTCCAGGCTTCGAGGCGGCCTGGAGGTCACGAGAGAGGCCGGCTGCTTCCTTCCATTCTTCCCTGAGGGCCAGATTACAAACCAAAGTCACTCCCCAGAAAAGGACAGGAAAATACTCACCAGGTTGAGCAGGGCAAGTGTGTCGTCTGTTTTCCCAACAACTTGGAACAACCTAAACCATTTAAGAAAAAGACAAAAAGACAGTAAAATGCGGTTCCAGTACCATTAAGTGCACACACACTCTCTCCAGCATCTTCTGGTTAAAACATCATTAAGAGATGTCACTTTAACCAAACATAAGCTACTACCTAGTGTACAGAGTTTGGAAAACACGAAGAAGGAAATGAAGTTCCCTAGAAAGCACCCTGCCCCGTCCAGGCGATCGCCACTTCCTCCTGATTCACATCCTGCCCCCTTCCCCCCATCCACACGCTCTCCACCACTTCCTCTGATTCACACCTACCCCGTCAGAGCGTCGCCACTTCCTCCTGATTCATCTGCCCCGTCCACACGATCTCCCACCACTTCCTCTGATTCACACCCTGCACCCCACGTCCAGAGCGATCTCCTACTTCCTCCTGATTCACACCCTGCCCCGTCCAGGCGATCTCCACCGCTTCCTCCTGATTCACACCCTGCCCCCGTCCAGGCGATCTCCGCTTCCTCTGATTCACACCCTGCCCCGTCCAGAGCGATCTTCACCTTCCTCCTGATTCACACCCTGCCCCGTCCAGGCGATCTTCACCGCTTCCTCTGATTCACACCCTGCCCCGTCCAGGCGATATCCACCGCTTCCTCCTGATTCACACCCTGCCCCGTCAGGCGATATCCACTGCTTCCTCCTGATTCACACCCTGCTCCCGTCCAGGGCGATATCCGCCCGCTTCCTCCTGATTCACACCCTGCTGCCGTGCAGGTGATTTCCCCACCACTTCCTCCTGATTCACACCCTGCCCCTGTACAGGTGATCTTCACCACTTCCTCCTGATTCATACCCTGCCCCTGTACAGGGCGATCTTCACCTTCTTCCTGATTTACACCCCTGCCTGTACAGGTGATCTCCGCCCTTCTTCCTGATTCACACCCTGCTACCGTGCAGGCGTCGCCACTTCCTCCTGATTCCCACCCTGCCCCGTCCAGGCGATCTCGCCACTTCCTCCTGATTCACAGCCTGCTCAGCAATACGTCCCCGTCCAGGCGATCGCCACTTCCTCCTGATTCACATCCTGCCCCCGTCCACACGATCTCCACCACTTCCTCCTGATTCACACCCTGCCCCCGTCCAGGCGATCTCCACTGCTTCCTCCTGATTCACACCCTGCCCCCGTCCAGGCGATCTCCACCGCCCCCTCTGATTTTCCTGCCCCCGTCCAAGAAATGATCTCCACCGCTTCCTCCTGATTCACACCCCTGCCCCGTCAAGGCGATCTTCACCTTCCTCTGATTCACACCCTGCCCCGTCCAGGCGATCTTCCACCTTCCTCTGATTCACACCCCTGCCCCCGTCAAGCGATATACCGCTTCCTCCAGATTCCACCTGCCCCGTCCAGAGAGCGTGTCCACTGCTTCTCTGATTCACACCCTGCTCCCGTCAGGCGATATCATGGCTCTCCTGATTACACCCTGCTGCCGTGCGAGTGATTCCCCACCACTTCACTCCTGATTCACACCCCTGCCCCTGTCACAGGTGATCTTCTACTTCACTCCTGATTCATACCCTGCCCCTGTACAGGCGATCTTCTGCTTCTTCCTGATTTACACCTGCCCCTGTACAGGTGATCTCCGCCTTCTTCCTGATTCACACCCTGCTACCGTGCAGGCGATCGCCACTTCCTCCTGATTCCCACCCTGCCCCGTCCAGGCGATCCTCACTTCACTTCCTCCTGATTCACAGCCTGCTCTCAACAGTTGGTGTTAGAGGCACTCGTGCCCTGGTAACTTTGGTGGCTTTCTCAGCATTACCTTGGGGAGCAGTCCCCTGCCCCCACCCGCTCCCGCCACCGCTGAGCTTTGGCCAGGCTGTGCCTGCTGCCTCTGCATTGTGCAGGCGAGGGCTGAGACCACACAGTAGCTCTTTTTTTTTCTTTTTTGGAGGCGGAGTCTTGCTCTGTAGCCTGGGCTGGACTGCAGTGGCTGGATCTCAGCTCTGCAAGCTCCGCCTCCCGGGTTTATGCCATTCTCCTGCCTCAGCCTCCCGAGTAGCTGGGACTACAGGCGCCCCCGCCACCTTGCCCGGCTAGTTTTTGTATTTTTTTAGTAGAGACGGGGTTTCACCGTGTTAGCCAGGATGGTCTCGATCTCCTGACCTCGTGATCCGCCCGTCTCGGCCTCCCAAAGTGCTGGGATTACCCAGGCTTGAGCCACCGCGCCCGGCCACGAAGTAGCTCTTTCAGGATCTTGAATTGCTCAGTTGTCAGGGAGGCCTCTGGGAGCTCCCCAGGAGCGTCCTCAAGGGGTTGTGAGCTGCCTGTTCCCAGGCACAGGAAACACCCTCTGTGGAGGCCAGAACCTCTCCCGAGGAATGGGACCCTCAGACCTCATGACCAAAAACCATTCTGAAAAAAGGAAACCCCGTTTTTCCATTCAGGGGTCCATGCTTATTCAGGAGTTATACACTACACCTGTAGAACGCCCTACGGAACACCCACGCAGTAGAAACAGAATAAACATGGACCACTGTCTCTGTCACCAGATATAAATGAGCACAGCCCACACGGTCCACTCCTGAAGCTTCAGGAAAGGCGCACACCTCCAGCCTCATCCACTCTGAAGTTAGAGGCCTCACTGGGCTGGGCCTGACTGGCTCGAAGTCCCCCAGCCCGGGGCTCTGTGACCCAATGGGGAGGCCCAAGGGTGGCCTCAGGCTACTGGACACAGGGGCTCACTCTGGGGCTGCATTTCTCAAAAGTAGAGAAGGACCCATTTCCCTGGAGACAGCAGCACAGTGACTGCCGTAGTAAGGACGCTGCACACGAGCCTACGTGACTGCAGATGCACAGAGCAGATCTGTGAAGCATCCCCCAGGCCTCGGGGGTCCTCCCGCCCTGCCCACCATGGATTCCACAGTGGGTGTGGCACAAGGTGGGCGAGGGCGAGCAGAGTTCAGCTGAGCTGATGGGGAGCCTGGCACAGTCAGGCTCTGGGTCTCCCAGGCGCTCTATGAGCAGAGCTGAAGAAAGCCCTCCCCTAAGAGGACCATCTGTCACCACAGAGACAGTCACCTTGCTGAAAGCAAGTCTGTCATGTAAAACGTTCAGCCATGCTTTTCAAGGCCCAGGCGCCGTCTCGGCTCGCCCACAGCCCCAGCTCCACCTCTGGTGTCCTCCTGCTCCTCTCTGCCTGGGGCAGGTGGTCAAGAGAGCCCCCACAACACTGGGCCCTGCTCTCCTTGGATCACTTTTTTTTCTTCTGAGACAGAGATCTCGCTCTGCCTAGGCTGGAGTGCAGTGGTGCGATCTCACTGCAGCCTCCACCTTCTGGAGTTCGAGCAATTCTCCTGCCTCTGCCTCATGTGCTTCAAGTTATAGGCAGGTGCCACACCAGGATGTTTTTGCTTATTTTCATACAGGCAGAGGTGTGCCATGTTGGCCAGGCTGGACTCAAGACTCCTGACCTCCAGGTGATCCACCCTCATGGCCTCTAGTGCACAGGATTATAGGCGTGAGCCTGCTTGCCTGGCCTCTCCTTGGATCTTAAGGAACCTTTTCCTCTGGAAGGTGACGCTCCAGCCCTGAGTACATGTCCATGAACACAGCCTCCTTGCCAGGGGAGAAGGCAGTGCGGTGAGTCCCAGGGCACAGAACCAGGAGGACAGGGCTGTGTACCGCCCCAGCCAGTGTTAATGGGGCACATCATATGTGCCTCTCCTGCCTCTCTCCTGCCCGGCTGCAGCCTGGTCTTGAGGCAGCTCTACTTGAGCAACAGGAAGGTCCGTGTGGCCAGAAGCAGTGGCAGCACTGAGTGTCTGTGTAGCCAAGAAGCGGTAGCAGCACTGAGTGAACCATCACACCTCCGCCTACTAGACTGTTCACACCTCCGCCTACTGCCGTCCACGCCCGCCTACTGCACCATCCACAACTCTGCCTACACTGTCTCCAACAGCCGCACCTCTGCCTACCGCACCGTCCATACCGCACCAACTGCTTCACCCTATTGCACCGTCCACACCTCCGCCTACACCATCTCCACCATCCACACCTCCTCCTACACCGTCCAACACCTCCGCCTACCGTACCGTCCACACCTCTGCCTCACTGCACCACCCACCTCTGCTTACACCTTCTCCACCATCCCACACCTTCTCCTACGGCACCTCCTCCTACCGCACCGTCCGCACCTCCGCCTACCGCACCGTCCGCACCTCCGCCTACCGCACCGTCCGCCTCCGCCTACGCCCGTCTGCCCCTCCGCCTACTGCACCGTCCGCGCCTCCGCCTACCGCCCGTCCGCCTCCGCTTACGCACCCGTCCGCACCTCCACCTACTGCCCGTCCGCTTCTGCCCACACCTTCTCCACCATCCATGTCCTCCCTCTGGCACCATCCACACCTCCGCCTACACTTCCGTCCGCACCTCCACTTCCTACACTTCCGTCCGCACCTCCGCCTGCCACCTACCAAATCCGCACCTCCGCCTACCCTTCCCGTCCGCACCTCCGCCTACACTTTGCGTCCACCACGTCCGCCTACGGCACCGTCCGCACCTCCGCCTACCCCGCACCGTCACGCCCCCGACCTACTGCGTGCACCATCCGCACCTCCGCCTACTGCACCATCACCATCATCCCACACCTCCGCCTACTGCCGTCCACACCATCTACACCTATGCCTACTGCGGTCTGCTACATCCACCTCCACCTACTGCCACAAATCCGCACTGTCCAGGCCTGGGAGCTAGGAGTAAGCTCACGCCATCCCCACGCGCATGAGGTGGGAGGGGCAGCCTGCTGTCCCCCACCCTGGGGACTGGGTGCATGATGTGGTGCAGGAGTCTGGGGAACCCTGAGGAGCAGCCGTGGACCGGCTGGAAGCTCCATGTGTGTGCCGCCCAGGCCACCGTCACGATGAGGGAAGGTCATCAGGTAGACTGCGATCCGTGTTGCCAGAAGCCTCTGTACACTTCTGTCGAACTGCTGGAATACAAGAGCACTGCTGTCAGAGCCCAGGTGACATGA